TTGCATGAAAGGTCCTTCGATAATGCTCTCGGGCTTCGTGCTGGAGACATGACTCGATCAGATGTGTGATTGCGTAAAGTTCTTATTGTGGCGAATTGCCTAGCCCTCTCAGCAATGGGTGCATCTTTTGACGCTGCGAAAAAAAAAACATGCCAAACAGGAGGTATTACATTCGAGCTGAAAATTCTGACAAAACGCTACCATGACATGACTCCTCAGAACGTTCTCCTTCAGGTACCTCTCGTCGATAGCTCTCACGAAACTCGGTGCTCACCTGAAGTTACTGCTCTTACCTAAACAGAATTGCACCAAAAATGAACAGTCTCTTCATTATATAGCGACGAGAAATTCATATTTCTCGAGCAACCGCACAAGTTTCGTTTAAGTTAAGCTAGGCTGGAGGAATAGAAAGCTCAGACAGAATTCGATCCCGCAGGGCACGCGCGCTTGATGGCAGCTCTTGGCGCAAACTGATACGGGTGGAGATCTACTGCACTTTACTAATGTTTGCTCCAGAAGCTTGGGGACGGACGTGGAGCAATTCAAAAACACTTACCACCTCGTCGTTTTCATTCATAACAACAACTAATCGTTGTTTTGAAAGAGGTTCCACATCAGTAGGGTGCACTGAATTAGCACGACGTTGAGCACTGATTTTCGATGGAGACCTGCTATCCTTTTGACGAGATACAGGAAAATAGTTTGATATCGGGCGCTTCACCACGTCGTCATTCCTGAAATAACGCTGAAAAGTGGACAATAGCGCTATAATCAATAATGCCGCTCGGTCGTTTGTATTCTTTCTAATTATTCATGCTCCCAAAAAACCATCAGAGTTCACTGATTGGAAAGGTTAAGCAGCTGAGCATTGAGATTTCAAAAAGAGAGTCTAGACAGAGTGAAAAGAATGAGAAAAGACAAAATAGAATCTTGAAATTACGTTTCAAGAAAGTATGGCGGATCGCCTACCGAAGTCTCTTTTTTCACAAAATGTAAAAAAAGGTTGCGTTTCAGAAGCTCACGTTCTGTTACAAGGAAAAGGACAGTCAGATGCTTTCAGCTCCCTGTAAAATTGCAGAAAGCTGGCATGATGATTATTTCCAGCTGTCTGTGATTAAATTTTGCCCATGAGCAAGTGTTCTATGATATTTTCAACCGTTTGTTCTAATGCTCATATCTAGGAGAATTTTTTTCAGGACAACAATTGTCTTGAGTTCATGTCTATTGACAGCTGCTCTATATCGGAAAGCGATCAAAAGTCATCGGGTAAAAATCAACTAACATCGTTGGAAAGAGGCAGAATATTCTACTTTTCTCTGCGCACTTTCCTCTGGTCCGAGAGAAAATCTGAAATTGAGTCCCAGCGAGGCCAACTAAATCTATCAAATCCTCTGGGAGTTTGCCAATCGGCATCAAGCTCGAGTTGGAGTAACACTCACACCACGGCTGACCCTCTGAGATCATTGAAGGGATCTAATCGCAGCTGTCAAGTAATTACAGTCGTTATCACTGCCACATGCAGGCAGCCAGGGGTGTGAGCATAAAGTTCGCATCGCAAACCCGTTTCCCACTCCTCACTGAACGCTCAAAGGCACTAAAACGCCTGCCCCGCTGACACGCCCTGACTGACTTCGGTGATACGGACCAAACATAGACTGGATAGAACTCTTACAAGACAAGAGAAGTGCGAGGATCAAGGAACGGCAACGACTTTCACTTCCAGTTTATTAGATGAGCTAATGAAGAAGAACTTACGAAGTGGTTCTACTCTGCTTAGCAGGAGGTTCGTGACGTATCAACTTCAAATTGCCTGAGGGTATAGGAAGATCCTGAAAGAAGACCCAGACCTCTTCCAAGTTTCCTTGAGAGTTTCATGGCTTGAAACTTCCAGCGATTATAGCTATAATAAATTGGAAAGTATACCTTTGATGGAGATATGGAGCGAGTTCCAGAATTTCGCACTGGCAGCAGCAGTTTGTGCATCGCTGGCGCCACACTGCATCCTATAAGGTACGTAGAGCTTTTGAACGACGTGGGAAAGGCAACCTTGATCAACTTGGGGCCAATAATGACTTGGAACAATTTTCGTACTTGGTATGTTGTCCAGTGGATCTGATTCCTCATCATTCGTGTTCGGGAACACAGTAGCTGGGTGCATACTTTGGAGTGGTGGTACAACTGCGGTTCTCTCGACATCGTATATCTGAAATTACTGCTCCTGAAAAATATGAAAACAAGAGGGCATCCAATGGAGAACCTCCTTCTTTACAGTCACATTGTTCTTCTGAGCGTCAGTTTCGGGATTTTGCAAGAGTTGGTTCGGTATTCGTGGGATGCGCACAAGAAATGGAGAGATTGTAGGTAAACTGGAAATGTTATCACAAGCAGGTGAAACAACTTGTTCTTCGAATAAATACCAGAATATGGAGGATTATTAGTAGAGCAACTGCACCACAAACTCCACACGTGGAGAGGAGCCAAAAAGAAATCACGTACTTGGCTGCATTCTTTCCAGCATTAGCCGTTTTCCCGCCTTCTGTCTCCACAAAGAGTGGAAGTGCAGCTGGAATTTCCGGAGGAACGCGGCTGCAGAAACACTAGGTCAGCAAAACCTGCAGGTTTCCCAAAGACAAACTTCACACCCACCTCTGAATCGTGACCCTTATCGCCGGTGAGTGGTGAAGTCCGCACTGCACACAGCGTGTCACGATGTTCTCACAAAAAAATAACAACAAGAAAAACGCAACGGGGACGGCGGGCTGAAGGGTGCTTCGGGTGCCCTATACGTATTATCGGTTCTCCGCACTGCACGCCCTAGCACGTTTCTTGTCGGCGCGCTTATCCTGCACCTCTCAGCGACCACAATTTAAGGCGTTCTCAACCCTGAACTGTGTGTGTCGGCTGTAGGGATTGTAATCGACGAGTCTGCCAAGTCCTGCAGCGTATTGAGGATAGCCGGCGGGGCGTGGACCGGCATTTCGGCTCCGATCACACCCTACTAGCGCCCTTCCCGTGCACATTTTGAGCGGAGAAAGTGGGCACGGCTACCATAGGCTGCAGACCACGTCATACTTGCATGAAGAAGTTCTAGCAGGCAAATGTACAGATTGGCCTTTGACTAGCTGTACCACAATTGGCTTTTCGACATCATGGGGTTGTGAATGCCTGAGACGTTCTGGCAAACAGACAGAGGGCGAGATCCAACGGCTTCCCGCAGTCACCGTCCTCCAAGCACCGTGGCGATGTCAATCTTCATGCCCGAAGAACGTCTATGACACAAATGCGAGTGGAGCTCCTACCATATGTCCATGTCCATATGGTATATCTCAAGGGGTTTTGCAATAAACAGCTTTACCTGACAATTCGCAGGATTTAGCAACAGGATCCCTCTCCGAAGGAGAACCCTAGCCGTTAAAAGTATCTGAAATTGCATGGAATCATCGAAAAAGTATCGAATTCGAAAGAGACTAACACACCTTTGTTCCCGGCAGTGCATTTTCGTCCAAAGCTAACTGAAACAGAATAATGCTGTCTGTCCACATCATCCAAAAATATTTAGGGGTAAACCCACTTTGCCGCCAAATTCGATGGCATGCACCACGTTCTGACCATCGGAGAGTCTCATTTTCAGCAGCCTGCGGTGGTCCAGAGCTTCGTATCCGCTGATCGCTGCCCTAGTAAAACATCACTATATGTACTCTGCTCAGTTTGTGTATGTGCTATTTATTCATTTCCGAAATTTGTGAATTACAACTCCCCACCTCCAGAAACGACTCTCTTCCCGGTTGTTTCTTACTCTGAAACTCTTGCTAAAGATCCTACAGCGATAGTGTGCGCGGCGGCTATTGCGTGACAATATCAGCGCCGTTCGTTCACCTCCATCTAGCATTTCCGCGCTTTGAACCACAGTCAGATTTAATCGCTACTGAATGATAGAAGAGTCGAAAAAGAAATTGTCTGCCAAGAGCCATGAGTCGGACACGAGTAATTCACAGCCAGATGAGCGGTGCAGATGCGTGTCAGACTCTATCACTACTAATTAACATAAGGCAAATATAGGTTGAATTTCCGTCTTCTGCACCTTTGCTCCGACTATTGATGAATAGCGCGTTGTATTAACACTTGAATAAGCAAGAATTAAAATATAGTCTTAGAGTATCACCTACAAATCTGGAACATGTCTCACCGATGGCTGTGACTCAACTCGTCCATCATCCTCGCCATGGAACCATGACAGATCATCCGCATTCTCAGTACATTCACAGTACTGTTCATAACAGGAACGAGTGGTGTTGATGACAAACACAACCTAAAAGAGGGTATTATTCTGATGGTGAGGAAAATGAGATTGGTCCGTTCAACTGTAGACTTAGATATCCTTTTGACCTGAAAAATCATTGGTTTCACAATCACAGCTTTGAGGGCGACCGTTGGGACTTTGGCAAGTGGTTCATAAGCCACAGAAAGATCAGAATGAATAAATTGCTCAAACACTGCCTGACACAAGTCATCATCCTGAAAATGACGATCGTAGTCTTGAATACCACATTGTTTCCTAACGCTAAGAAAAATACCTTATCGGCTTTGCCACGTGATTTAAGGAAATTGACTGCGGCATA